GCACAACGAAATGTCAAGTATTGTTGATGTAATCTGGAATATACGGTCTAAAGCATTGAGTGAATTTCTAAAAAAAAAAAAAATAATGAATTTTCAATAAATCATAATTTTATCAAAAGCTGCACAAAAATATTTCAACTAGAGTTACAATTACTCAAATAATAGACTCTCGACATTTCGGCTAGATTTTTAAAAAAACTTTTATGATAATTTCCTTGAAAGTTATTCAATACAGGAATTTCATCTGCATCCAAACGACATCTTTACGATACTTATGATTTAAAGGAGACGGAAAAATCAGAGAAAAATTTTTTATTGGAGAGACATTTCTTGAGTTCCTTTTAATTCACGGGCTTTGATCTTAGAAATGTTTTTTTCTTAAGCAGCTTCTGTACTTCAATTTTCTATAATTTGTTATATAATAACCAATAAAGTAAAATGATAGTTGTTAAAAATATCTCACGTTGTATATTACAGAGAAAAACAATAGAAATTACTAGGGTGTAAACTTTATTGAAACGTTATGTTCTATTATTTCGAAGATATATTAATAACAACTCTCGTAACATTACAAAATAGTATTGGAGAAAAAAATTTCTTTTACTTTTATGATCATCATTACGATTCCAAAATTGGCAGTAAATCTTCCTCTCGTTAAATCAACGTAATGTTTTGTTTTATCGTCCACAATTTAAGATTTGTAGCAAGAACCTAGTAATTCGTGTACAATAGATGATTTATCATTTTTCTATGACTGCTGGAATTCAATAGTGCTGTCATGCGTCCATGTGATAACGTATCGCTTGGCGAACACACCGTTGTATGGATAACTTCATGGATGAAATTCCTATAGTTTTACCTTTACTTATCTTTTTCAAGTGCATTGATTCATGTTAATATTTATTGCAGTTTTCATTGATTGACGTTCTACTGAATACTTTGAGCGATTATTAATCCCATTGAAATGATTATCGCAATATTAAAACACCAGACTATTATCAGAATCATATTGAATTTGGCAGGATATGACGTATTACGATATCTAATATAAATCCCTCATCAAAAAGCATCAACTTTTTTTGGTAGCAATTAAACTTTATCAAATTTTATCCGGATGCAGATAATTTTTTACCTTTTTTATTGAACTATATTTCTCTCAATTTACTATCGTTAATTATTCAATAAAAATAAAGAATTCCAAATATTACACATTTCTGTAGAATATAGAATTATTTGTAAATTAATAATTTTTATTGAAATAAAAAATCAGCATTTTATATTAAGTAGAAATTCTAGCTCGACGCATTTGTATGTAAAGCATTTGGAGAGACTAATGGAAGGTTAATAATGAGTTCAAGAAGTCTAATTATAGGACCGGGCTGAAATTTTCGTCTGAATGTTTAAGATGGTACATTCATAACAAATGAAAAAAAAAACATTGTGGTAAAAGTAAGCCAGGGTAATTTAGCGACAACTTGTAATTTGAGAGACATTTATCATTTATCACGGAATTTCTCATTTGAAATACCATGTAATACATTTTACACCTAAGGAGTGAACATAGACTGGTTGAAACCACAAATAACATTACGACTGGAACGGTCTAACCAAACCACTGAATGTATCTCTATTATAAACAATGTGGTAATATTTGCTGAAAATTTTCTCTCTATAGAATCTTTTCAAACTTTCCAGTATTTCTGATATGATTCTAATTTGAATTCTAATCATTTTCTACTCAGGAATATTAATTAAAATAAATCTATCAACTAAAACAATATTTCATTGTTTTAATACCGAAGTTGACCTTCGTCTGATAATTTAATTCCTATTGAATCGTGAATAGTATGTTCTACGTAGTCATTTCAATATTTTCTATTCAAAAGTTGATATTTATAACAGTCACATGAGATACTGCACATAAATAATAGTACATCCCGTTTCAAAGTACTTCCCTGCTGCATTTCTAGCGATTTACGGTCAATATATCAAGTCATAATAAATGTAATGTGGACGTAAGTACAAAAAACGCAGTTCTTTCTTCAAATAATATTTTACTTATTTCGATAATGCAAATACTTTCGTACAAATCGTTGTCAATCCTAAAAATCTCTTTTATGGTAAAATATACTTCTATGAAAATTCTAGTAGAATTGAGAACTTTAAAAATTAAAAAATAAAAATTGAATTATAAATTTTTTCTAAATGAAAAAACAGAAATGCATTTTTATTTTCATTTTTTTTTCATCGATTTACATTATTATTATTATTATTATTATTATTTATTATACATGAAATATTTTATAATAGTTTTTAATATATTATTACATTAAAATCACAATATTTTGACAATTTTATTATTGATTTATTCATTATACAGAAATACAGAAAATGACTTTATTCTGTAATCTATATCGTTCTCCATACTCCATGCTTTCACAGAATAGAATTTCGTGTCAAATATTCATGGAACAGTGAGTTACTTTAACACGTCAACCATAATACATCACAGCACTTGTGCTCCACATATCCATTAATTTAATAATAATTACTTAATTATTTATTTAATTAATACATTGAATATATTATTATATAATTAACGCCTTTTCACAATTTTTTTTTCTGGTTAAAAAAAAAATTTCAATTCAACTATTTATTATTAATATTATTATTTACAATAAAACTTAATATTTTACATAAATAACTATTATTATCAATCTTGATATGAATTCGACAATATCTCATAAAATTCAATATCAATATGAAATTTTGCAATCAATATTATAATTATTTATTATACTTTGTATTATTTCTCCATTAACTAAGCAAATAAATTTATCATACAACATAGAGCTGTAAAATTATTTACATTTGTCACTACTGTATTATGAGCAGCCGTTGAACGATTCATATCTACTGTAAATTTTCATACATTATTATTATTATTATTATTATTATTATTATTATTATTATTATTATTACCAGCTTAATTAGTAGACTATTCCATTTAGATATTACAGAAATTTCAATACCGAAAGACGTATTTTTTTTAAGTAGTTATTCGAGAACGATATTAACTGACATCATCTTCGATGCACAATCCTGCTGAGAATTTTCTCAAAAAATTAGTACGAAATTTGTATTACTTTTGAACAAGATTTTACTTTGAAAGCGAATTCTCTAATGATCAAGTTCTTTCACTAGCTTGCGTTCATTTATATTCAAATACACACTTAATTGTACGTTGAATTTTCGTGAAAGCTCGATAACAAGAAACATCGATTAATCAACATAACTATTTTAACATTCAATTGGAGTGGATAATTAAATTTAAAATTAATTAAGTTATCAATTCGTTCAACTAAAAACTAAAATAAATACAATTAATATCTATAATTTAATTCTATCGTATAGTCAAATTATCAAATAATACAGTTAGATATTTGTATACAATAAAAAATAATTTAAATTTATCCTAGATAGATATTTTAATATAATTACGAAAATATTGAAAATACAGTTGAATTAATTAGCGAAGATAGATTAGAAAAATAACTCAACATAAATAACGATGTGTATGATAGATAGAAAGCAACCATAAAGAATTCTTGATTGGGGCTCAATAATAAGAATCCTTAATGGTATTTTACGTATGTTATTAAAATTTTATTATAAATTTTTTATCATTTAATTTTAATTTCTATTTCTGACCATTGGCTTCGATTTGTTTAATTTTTATTCAGTTCAGTAAACAACTAAAATTGTTATTTAGAAAATAAATATACGTAATCGATCGAAAGTAGAACTAAGTTACACTAGGTCAGGCACTGCAAGCCAACAACTATTGTCTCAACTTCTGTACATACAAGCTGTTCATGTCTGGTCAAATGAAATTTACTTTTCCACCAGGATGGCTCTACTCTAGCATTTTATTTTCTTAAGCTTTCAGTAAATCTATGAGAAAGCCGACTAAAATTGTGAAAACTGCTCAAATCAATTGCATAGATAAAAGTTGTAAAATAGTTTATTGTATAAGATTTTCATTATTTTTAAGATTTTATAAAGACAATTTTCGTTTCTTTAACTTGTTTGGATTATACACAATTATTATATGTACATATATACAAAAAAGCATTCAATCTTTAGCAACTATTTTTCCTCTTAATAGAAATACTTTGTCTTTAACAAGTGATATTTTCATTTTATAGGACAATAATTATATTAATGTTGTCTGAATATCAATGTTTCGATTATCCAAATATTAAATTATCAATTACTACTGGTCTTTGATAAATTTTAAAACATGGTTGGTTCCATTATTTTATAATTCAAAATCGATTGATACTAAATAGATATTTCAGATGATATGACAAATATTTCATTATTTATTATTATTATAATATTTAATTATATATACAGTTAATGCTTATTTTAATAAATAATATATATATACATTTCAATCGTAAGCGTGAGCAATATGAAATCTGTCGTGTTATCACTGATTCAGTATGAATTATAATTAGTAGAAATCAAGTAATTCATTTGATCAAATCAACAAACTTAATTAATCAGGAAAATTAAATAAACCAAATGACATTGTTGAATATATATAATTACTGCTAGCATATTAAATCTTAAAACAGTTTATTAACAGTACCAGAAGCTTCATGTAATAAAGCAAAAATGAAAAGCTCTTTACAAACAGACAATATATTTGGATTTTTTTATTATTTATCTGCTTTGGTGTTTCGATGTTTGACATCAAATTGAATGAATTATTTATAATTATCTCATTTTTTTCAATAATTATTTTGAGAATATGGCAATGATAATTTTATTTAATTTTTTTTTTTCTATTTTATGTAAATGTACGTTGTTAAAATTGAAGTAGAGATATTTTCCATTTGTAATTTAATCATTCATGTGAAAAAAAAAATGCTGACTTAGAGAAAATGAAAATTAAATAAAAAATTTCAGAAATAATTCAACCATAGTCACAATCAGTAAGTCAGTTGTCATTTTCTATCTTTTTATTTCTGCAATAAAATTATAGACTTCAGTAGAAAACGAAAGCCCCGAGTTAATAATTATTATAGCAGAATTTTATGACTATGTTAAATGAAGCAGTTTTCAAGTAATGAAAATAAGCTGTAAAAATAAAGTTATATTTCGCAATAAAACAAAGCAGTCTGACATATTTCATGTATATACTATTTAAACTGTAACTTCCTCGGAAAATCTACTTTTATCGTCGAGATTAATGACAATTGCATGCGTACGAGCGTGACCGGATTTATTTTTATCTCTTTCTTTACCATCTTTTACTTTTGTTTCAGTAATTACTTCACCATTATTCTCTACAGTAGCGGTTAGAACATTTGGGTTGGATGATGCTGCTGATGACGATGACGATTCTGCTGTTGCAAGATTAATATTCTCACATTTGTTTCTCAAAGTTTCCTTATTGTCAGCCGAGTTTTCGAGCTGCTTTATCGAAGTTGAAGGAATTTCATTACTTTCATCTTCACCACTTATACATTCACATTCATTCTTTAATAATGTTTCATCTACATTTTCATTATTATCCGTTTTGTATGATTCTGCTTTTGACTTTTCTTCAATTTTTGACTCTACTATTGCAGAACTAGATAACTCATTTATTTTAAGGGTTGACCAAACAATTTGAATCGCTGGAACATTAGTATCAGCACGATTTGCTGCTTCTTGCATTGCTGATATTTTAGTAACTAAATGACGATTTCCTAATCGCATATTCTTCTCTCGCAACATTTCTAATTGAGTGTATAAACGACGAAATTCTTCCTGCAAAGTAAATTTGTAAACAATAATCGTGACTTCATTTTGCTCAGTAATTATTTTCTTTTAAACAAATAATAATAATTGCTTTGTTTTTATGTCAGATTTAATTTATCTAAATAAAATAAAATAGATGTTTAGTATTTATGTAAAAAAGTGACGTTTACTTAATTAAGAGTAGCTTATTACATTTAGTTCACAGCTTTGGAACAAATTACTCCGTCAAGCATCGCACTTTTGATAAATTATTTAAGGTTTTTCAAGGAAGAGTTTTTGGCTAAGATTTCTTACCGTAACTCCATCACCTTCCTCGGTGAAATTGGCCTGTTGCAAAGAAATAGAGTTTGTCTGGTTGCTAGATGCTTGCGGTCGACACGTCTTTCCAATAAATTTACCAGTTGCTCCCGGCAGCTTTCCAATTGCATCTTCTTTGCCTCCACCGCGAAATACAACGTAAGCCTTGCAAAAAAAAGAACATTTCCACGTTATTCCAACCGTAAAAAACGGTCGAACTATCAAATATATTATCTAAAGTAACGATAATAAATATGAATCGACTATTGAATAAAATAGCTGAATATAAATTATTTTCAATAAGATAATGTGAATGATTTTTATATATATATTGATTTATGTAACTTATGCATTGCGATTTCTTATAAAAGCCACAAATTACTTCACATTTCAAAAGAACTTTCATTGAAAAGTCTTTAGATGAACAAAAACTCGTTGGGTAAACTTCCTTCATTTGTCCGGCTTTAAAAAAAAATTTAATTACGTAATGATTGATCTTTACAAAAATTTTTGAAGTGATACACATTTTTTTCTAAACTCAATTATTTATTTGTATGGTCCAATGATTGAAGAGAAAAAATTTCCTTTTATAAAAGTCTAGTATTTTCAATTTTCAAGGTTGATTGAAAAATATTTATCGGAATCATATGGGTCAAGTGTATATGCATTGATAGACTCTTGATCTGTAATCTAAGCCAAATTGATAATACTTATATCCTCAATCTTCATGGAGAGCCATCGATAAATAAATGTTGAAAATAAATGGCTGTTTTATCTTTAATAATTACACTTTATATGCTGGGGAAGAAAAAAGATGTATTTTTAGATAAAAAGGATATATATATATTTATCTCACCTTACTACCGAATATTAACCCCAATAGAGGCGTTACTGTGAGCTGCGTATGACAAAAGAAAATGATATAGAGAAGATCGGGATTAGCAGGTGACTGGAGGAAAAGCCTGGAAAAGTAATTTATTAAGAAAAATATTAATTACATCATTATAAAATAAATGGTTTTTCGGTATTACTATTTTTAACTTTGACTTAAAAAAAACTAAAAATATCGATTTTATCAGTTGAAGTAAATCATTCGTTAAGGATTTTAATTAAAAATGTTCATACTTCAAAAAATTGCTGCAAGAGACAAGCTTGTCTCTATAAAGTGATATTTTTAAAGATGAATAAATTCTAATTTTACCACAAAGAGAAAGAATCATTATGTTTGATGTCAAAAAATTTTAATATATCGAAAATGAATAAGTGTTGGCATGTCAATTTTTTTTTTTCGTTTATTGAGACTTTTGAAAGTTTATTGAGAAGCTGCAGAAATATTGGTCTATCGACACAAATTTTCAGGAAAAGCGCCAAAGGGCTTGAACTCATTAGAAATTTTTTAATAATTTTTTGTTATTATTTTATTTCACTAATTACAACGTTTAACACAGAAATATGAATTAACAATGCTATATTTCATTGTATAGACTAAGTTAATTAAAATTTATATACTTTAATATAAATTTATTAATATCTCATTAATTTTTAAAATTAATTTTCATAAAATTTTCGATACACAAGCTTCGTTTTAAATATTTTATAAAAATATTTTCTCATATTTTAAATCAGAATATAATCCATTTATGCTTTTAATTTTTAACATTTATTATATAAACAAATAAAAAGAAAAATTTATTCATTATTTTTTTGCATTTTTTACAAGACTGCCTAACTAAATACAATTATTCATAATCACGGGAAAATTGAAAATATTTATATTATAATCAGTATTCCAAAGAATATTTTATAAACTTTTAATTTTAATATGACCATATTGATATGATTATTGTCCTTGTTGTCAATAATAATTATCTCAATCGATGTAATTAAAAAATTAATAAACAAAAGAACGAAGCTTTTAAGATGATGTCAATAATAATTTCACTTAACTTATTTAAGCATGTTAAAAATGTACACAGAAAATTTTCTACAAAAAATTACTTAGCGATGTACTTTTATAAAACACTTCATCTATTCATGGAATACTTGATTCCATAAGACTTGTAATTTTTTTAAATGAAATTTTTATGCAAAGTATACTTTATACTAAAAATTTATTAAAAAAAAAAATAGTTAAGTTTGCTTTAAAACATATATTTGAAAGAAAAGAATTGATACATGGAACACTAATTTTTTGAAGCATCAAATCCACAGATTCTTTGTGAGTTTTGTCTTACATCAAAATGATTACTTTTGTCTGATTATTTGTTTGAGTTCTTAAAACTTCTAATCTCTTAGACATTCTAAATAAACAGCTGTTTTTTATTGTTCTTCACATATCAGTCTGACCCAACTTATCCTGTAGAGTGTTTTGTCAGTTCTGTTTCAAGCTGTTCTATTGTTCATACTGCAGATGTTTTTCACAAGATTATTATTTTTTTTCTACTGATATTAACAATAGTTACAATGAACAAAAGAACATATATGCTCTAATAAAAAAGTATATATTGTAAGCCATAACAAAATGAGAACTCCAAAGATGATTAAAAATCAATTAAAAGTTCATTAAATAAGACAGATTAATATGTCTTGTTAGTTCGAGTCTCAGTCTTAAACTAAACATAAACTAACTACTGGAACGTTGCTGATAACAAATTCGTCATACCTATCCAACACATATCACATTACTTCAAATATTTTACAATATATAGATATGTGTATGCTGTAAGATGAAATATGTTAACTATCTATCTAGCTTGATTGAAATTCAATATGTACAATGAACTTGTAAATATTGAACTTTCTGAACTGTTTCATCATGCATTTGCATCTCTTTATAACTAATAGATGATATGATGCATAACGCCATTTCATCTAAAATTATGCATAGAAGAAGAACAAGAGTTGTAATTAACTCTATGAGCCCGAAACTATTTGGCAATAAAACTCTGTGGTTGACAATAACGAATATTGCAACAAGCATGCATCGGTTACTAGAAGTAGAGGTTATTTGCGAAAATGTACTGAATATAAGTATATTGGGAACATTTAGTGCCATGTTGAACTATTTACGGAAGTAATAAAAAAATAACACTGAAAATAACTTACATGGATACATTCAAGAAGACTGATAATAGAAACTCATTGTAGATAGCCATTGAGATGAAACGACTTTCATTAAATTCCGATGGAGCTTTTCTCACCACTATGCACAGCCTTATTCCCCATATAAGAAACATGACTTCAACTGAAAAATAGTTTTTTAATTGTTAATAAAATTAAATATTAATATATTACATAGTATTAATCATTTGAAAAATTATTAATTAAATAATAGAGACTTTTACATTAAAGTTGACATTCTCTGCGGAAAATATATATTGTATTCTGAGCATATTTTTTCAAAAAAAAAAGATCGACTAAAAATTATTACATATTCGAGAATGAACCTTGTGCTGCTTTAATTGAAGTTTTACACTCTATGTGGAATAATAATTACTTGCGAAGAATTTTTCAGTCAAGTATTAAACATTTTTTACAGTGCGTCAGAAAGTAATTTTTAGTCGTCAACAATAAGTCACTATTCTTCGACAACTTTGACATGAAGGTTACTTATAACGTTGTTTATTTTATTTAAAAATTTTTTTATTCCGCTCACATTCATTATTTTTTCAATCATGTCTACCCTAACATGTAAGGAAATTTTTTTTTAATACGAAAATTAAATATACATGTGAATTTTCAATCTCACGTAGTTTATTAAATGTCAAGGAGTTATAATTTAACATATTTTCAAAGATTTTAAAATTTAATGATCATAAATGAAGGAGAAATCAAGAGTTTTAGCATTTGTGTACTTGTAAGTATTTAGTTCTTGGTTATTACCGCTAGGTGGCATATCAATTCTCGAAAGTCCGCCTTTAAAAAAAGAGTATAAATACATACATTGTGAAAACCGTATTTCTTTGGATATATTTTAACTTCCTATTTGGTAAGTTTTTGTAATTGATCCCATTTTCTAAGTTAATTTTGAGAAAAAAAAGTTACATCGTAAATAAGACGAAAAATGATACACTAAGAGTCATGATTATTAATACAACACGACGTTAATTATTATTTCAATTGACACTCATCTCTGAAATTTGAGCTTTAATACATGCTCGGATAAAGCCTGTATGGAATCCTCGAATGAGAAGTGCTGGTGTAGACGTGATTAGCAATACAATATATTATATAATAAATAAAGTTGGATTAAATTTATATTAATTAATTAATAAACTATATTATTATATAAATTTATTTATAAAACCATTTTTAAAAGCATTAGATGTTTAAAAGTGTGTTATGAGTTTTTATAATGCATTGCATTAATTGATTTGTATTATAAAAAAACAAAATTAAAATGCTGCAGAAATGAATTTTTGATTCTTTGTTAAAGAAAAATATTTTTGTTCATACAAGTAATTAAAAGTACAGCTTTAAGGATAATATCTTCTAAAAAAAACTAGAGTTTGAATTTAATCAAGTTTTTCTATAATCCTCATGAAATATTCTGTTACTTCTGCTATTTTTTCTTCACCAACGTATAATGGAATTTTCTTTTTCTTATCATTTTTAATAGCATGATACTTCAGTCAATCTGCCTCAGGCATTCAATATCTTAACAAAAAAATAAAACTATCTGAGCTTTTAAACGAACGTCGTCACTAGAAATGAACAAACTCTAGTAGATTCTTTACTCAAGAAACTGAACGTACTAATTTTAACTTTTTGCTCAGAAAATTTTTTCTGTTATTTTTTAATATTCATTAATCTAAAACTTCAACCATCAATATCGTGAATGTAAAATTTACTAAAAGCTGTAGTAAAATAATTTAGTGAAAAATAAGTTTCCTCAAGAAAAGTTGAGATTAAATTACTTTCATTGTATTGCATACTAAAAAAAAAAAAAAATTAAAATCAAAACATCTTTTTTTTAATAATTAAAGGCACACCAAGTCTCTGAACATCACAGTAAAGTTCTTAAAGATTTTGAATATTATTTACAGTATAGTTATTCAATAAAGGACCTCCAAAGTTGATGATAATAAGAGAACTTTGTTATTGAGACTATAGAACGATGATATACCCAAAGGATTACGCTCATTAGTAAGATAAAGGTATTCATCAAAAAACTTGAAAACATGTAAAGCTTATTGTGACAGTCCTTATATGAGCATGTCTGAATACCAATGAGAATTATTAATTATAACTTAATAAAAGCCACACTAACATTTCTACAGAAGAATACTTAATCTTCCAAAATAAGTCAATAAAAATTACTGCAAAACAGTATTGACTCTTTTTTTTTGTGATAAAACGATCACTATTTGAATGTAGCAAACAGAGCAGGTCGTTGCCAAATATGTAACAAAAGGGAGATTCGAATGTATTAAAAATTTGAAAAAAACAAATACAAAATTCACACATTGGTTATACATACAAATGGAATTCAACTCTGGAAGGAAATATCATTGAAAATGATAGTAAAAAAGCTTCTACAAACTATGGTATATATGATGTACTAACTCCCAACATTAATGAAAAATTTCAAAGTAAAAAAAAAATGCTTCCGCACAAAAAAAAAATTTTTTTTTAATAAAAATTACTTTTGTATAAGCTATTGTCATAGTAAGGAGATAGAGTCCATTTTAATTAACCTATTGACATTTAAAAAAAAATGATGTGAATAAAAAGATTCTTATTGAACAAATAATTTTGAAGTTGAAAAAATGGCGGATGTAAAAAAAGTCTTCTGAAAAATTTTAAAATAATTTCTAGATTAAGAAGTCTTATGCTTGCACGTCATTCGTCAAAAAATAATGAAAATTATATCGATTCTAATAACGAATAGAATATGATCAATCATAATAAATGAATCAAAAGGCAATCATAATTCATAAGTAACTTAGATGTTCAAATATTAAATTCACATTTATGAATTAGTAAATGTGATAAAACTATATGAATTTCCACAACATTTCGCTGTTGATCATTTTAATTACTGATTTGTTTTGAATCAATATAACAACTTCTTTTTAAATTTATTTATATTTACATATTATTAGAACTAAAAGTATACAATTATAAAAACGTTTTTTTTTTATTTACAGATTTAATCGGTTTAATTACTTTCATTTCATTTAATTGCCAATGAACATAATATTACTTGATTTATTATAACGTTAAAAAGTTGATCTTTCATCTCTGTACGTTCATTACCATTTCATTAATACAGTTGCTCTGAGGTGACAAAATGCTAATGGAAACAGCTTTCAAAAAGCTCTACGTTCATTTTGTCCACGCATAATAATATTCATTTATGGAAAAGTGAAATATTAATATTAAGAAAGTCTTTCCAAAAGATTTTCTCGGATTTCAATTTTCGTACTCATTATTAATTCTCAAATGTGTTTTCGACTAAATTGAGAGTATAATTGAAGAGGAAAACCGAGTTTATAGAAAAATTTTAATTACTTCAATTTTATACTTTGAGTGGTAGTAATGAAGTGTGAATGAAAAATCTGAAAATATTATACGATTTGATGAATTTAAATAAAACCATGCTAAAACCAAACTATCAAAAAGTTATTTTGTGAATCTAATTAACTTTCTCCCTTTGACTTAATTTTTTTTTAATTCATTTTATCGATAAAATCAAAATAGCACTTGTTGCTTGTGGCGGTGATCATAAATTTTATTAGAAGCATTATTTGAGAGATATTATCCATACTGATTATCATCAAAAGAAAAACATTAAATTTACATAACTCGCTGCTCCAGTTTGAAAGTGTGCTACACTTATTTTAAGTACCAAAATCTCAAGAGAAATAAGACCAAGAAGCAGTTTTAAGAAAATATCGAAATTATATTCATCGATCGATTAAATTACAGAACATTAGCAATCTAATGTAATATAAAAAAACGGTAGATTATAATTTTTTTGGGAGTACCGTTGGAATAAAAAATAAACTATTTTATAGATAAGGTTGTATTGAAGTTTATGATGGAAATTTTAGAATAATATAAAATTATTATTTACAATATTGAATCGAAATACTTTTTGGAATAAAACTTCTAAATATGGACTGATCATATAATATTTACTATGATCATATTGCAGTAAATTTCGTTGTGTACATGGTAAATTTACTCATATTTGATGTCTTTGGTCCAGGACTCTACTACTTAATCACTACACAGCTACTTGTTTGTATGATCAAGTAACTTTGAGTTTAAGATTTTAGCGGTATTTTGTATAATTCAGTAAGAATTGTAAAATGATTACTAAATTTCTATCAATTACTGAAAAATTCAATCGAAATTGATAGCCAAGAAACTTACTCTACACCGACAATCAAACTTTGCATTCATTCAATTAATGATATTCAATTTATAATTTTTTTTCCATCATTACTGGTATTTTTTGTTTTCAAAGTTATTTTAAGTAATTGCTGTTTTATAACAAGTTTATGAAAAATTGAAAACTTTAAATACTGATTTTACAATATGAGCTGTTAAAAAAAGCAAATAAACAATTTTCCGGTACTCATTCTTTAAAAATAAATCAATAAATATTTAAAGTTATAATAATGTCGGTGATTCAAACAGTGATACTTTCATAACTCCAAAATAGTGAATATCCACTGTTTCGCAGTCATTTCCACTGCTTCATTTTTAGATAATATTTTTTAATTTAAATAAAAAACGACTGCACCGATGAATCGAATAAAACTTTTCTCGAATCATGTTGACATTGCTACGCTTGACTGGGACCAAAACGGAATCGACATCATATTGTTTGTAGTCCACGTTGTTTTCATAAACACATACTCAGACCCAAGACACACACACACACACATGTATTTGCCGGTACAATTAATTGAAGAAAATTAAGCTGTTTTTTAAAAAAATAGGTCGAATAGTTGAATGTTAATTTTTGAAATAATTCATTATTTACTTACTAAAAAAAATGAAACAAACTTACGAGTTGTAAAACTATGATCCCACCAGTCTGTCCGGCAAAGATATGCCTTGAGGTCATCAGCAGTTCTTCCAACAATTACTACCGGTGGTGCAACGATTGTTCGGATTCCAAGAAACACACTGAATATCGTGACTATTATTCCAAGTCGTTTTAGCAAATTCATGTCTGTAATTTTCACTGCTTTGGCCGATTTGACACGAAATATCACAGATATTCTGTAATCAGATATAATTTCATCAATTAAATTCCTTTCATATAAAAATTACCCCATTTTTATACGAGTACACTTATTTATCATTCATTATCAAAACAATAAGGTTAAAGTTTTATTTTTATTCTTCCAACAATTTTAATATGATTTATTTGAACGTATTCTGGTAAAACGAATTTTGAAGTATCAAATAAAATGTTTAATCACGAAAATATCGAGGGTTACAGCCGGAAACCAGTAGCAACTTCAGAGATACGTGTGACATGATTATCACCAGTAACATAGTTACTGTTAGTTAATTGATTACCAGTGCCGCCGGGTGAAATAACTTTAATGATATGAAGCTTCTAACTTTCATACAAATTTCATTGAAATTATTAACATAGTTATGCAATTGGAAATTTTTTTTTCTAATCAACACCGAGAGAAAGGAATTGGAAAGTTTACTCCAATAAATAGTAGTTTGTCACTTCAGGTACGAAAATGGCAATAAGTAATTGTTTAATTAGTAAAAGAAAATGGTGGGCAAAATAAAAGGCTCAAGAAAATGTACTAATTTATTAAAATAAGTTTAAAAACGCTTATTGCACTTTTTTTTATTAATCCTTTAATTGATAAATGCATTAAAAATTATTAAAATTTCTTCATGGCGTTCCATTTTACCCCCTCTTCCCTCACATTACCATTTTTTCTTGTAAAAAATGTATTATAAATGAAAATTGTGAATTATATAAAAATAAATACAAAATATTACAATCTGATAGTGTAATAAAATTGTTACAAGAAAAAATTGTAATGTACACTAATTAAACAATTGTTTATTGCCATTTTTATATCCGAAACGACAGACTACTATTTATTGGAGTAAAATTTCCAATTCCTTTCTCTCTATGTAAGTTATTTTTTTTTAAACACAAAAAAATGAATTATTTAGAAATATTTATAGACTTTCGACACTATTGGAGGGACAGCATAAAATAAATCAAAGGAATTTTTTTGTCAGAAGCGTTAACCAATTTTCATGGACTAAAGAAATTCGAGGGGATTATGCCAAAAAACGATATCAAAGCATAGTAGAGCTTTGAAAGGACATTTAATAAATGGATCTATATTCATTTTAGTTTTCTGCTATCCTCTCTCCAAAAATTGAGAAAAGCTTATCCACTGTTGAAACGAATTCACTGGCATTTTTTGAATCACTACAATGTAGGAGAACGTGTGCTTGAAGTTTTCATAATTCAAATATGCATCGTATCAGTTATAACTTTGAATATCTAACTACTGGATTTTTTTCATTTCTTTCGATGATTGTTGTTCTCTCATACAATTTTGATTGATAAAAACTCGTTACTCTTTACATCATTTTTCAAAGTTATTAAATTCATAGCATAATCAAAAATTTTTTTACCTCCAAGTTTTCAGCATAAGAGCGCCGTAGGTAAGGGAAAATCCAATTTCCCGAAGCCAGACTCGTACAGTGCACGTCACGACATTTGGACGTGGATACATGACAATTGTCTGTAAAATTATTATTATTCATCAAGTTGAATATTCAAAATACAAGCTTGATACTATCGAATGTTATCAGAGAAATCAATGTATACTCAGGTAAAATATTTCAATCTATTTTTCTACTATTCAATGAAATATTCGAGAAAAAAAAAACAGTAGAATGTTTCAACTGATTCAGAATTGTTTTATTAATTTAGGAAAATATTGATGCATTAAAAAACAAAATTTGAAATTCAAAATGAATGTTTTAGCATAAACGTGTATCATATGATTTCAATACAGTATTAAAAATCTATATTTATCAAAATTTAAAATCTACCTGAATTTACATTCAATTTTATTTATCTACGAGCAGAAATTTTCCCAATTATGCCATGATAAATTTCCAACAAATTTGATCTATAAAATAAATATGGAAATCATATAAAATTTCATTCTCATAATTATAACTAGGGATATTTTTCAATCGTGTGCACGTTATGGAATGGTTTTAAATTTAAACGAATGACACGATTGAATTATTTTAATATCCTTCTTTCTGGTTTTTTAAATAGATCATCAAAATCTAATTAAAGTTTTTCCAACTGGATTAACGTACAATTTATAGTTACATATATCTGATAAATCCATTGGACAAAAAAAAAACATTTACCGTACGCTTTTTTTATTGACTCAATTATTTTTGCTTTGAACGTTTCTAGTCACGGAATTTAATCACACCTCGTTTACACGCTTGCTCAATAAAATCCAGTCATTTAAATTTCAATCAAATATTTTTAACTAAAGTATGGTTACTATTCCAATTTAATTCATATTGAGGCTATTAATAGCTTACTAAATAGTTTATATATATATTTAATTATAAATTATCTAAATTGTACTTACCGTACAATAAATAAAAAATGCTCCAAGTACAATGACTCTCAATAGAACGGGGCTTGCAGCTTTGACAACCTGTAATCATAATATTTTCATCTTTTTAATATTCTATTGAAGAAGTAGGATTCTTTGCAAGCTATTGTTCATGAATTTATAAAAAAAAATATGCTCCTTAGAATATTCCATTTTCAGAATGAAATGAAAGGCTATGTCGTATTTGCGATTTCGTGCTTGCTTGCAACTAAATCTATTTTATTCTTATCATAAATCATGAATTTATGACGGCCCATGATGACTAATTCACATTTTGCACTTTGTCCTTGTCAAAAATAGCTTGTGTACAGATAGCTTTTTAAATAATTCATGATTACTTGACTAGTGTTTAAAAAAACACTATTTTCGTTGTAATTAGTGAACAGATAATATATGCTTTAAAAATTCTACCATAGGGCAAAAAATATTTATTTATTTAAATTTTTAAGCTTTTAGGTTAAAATAAATTTCATCATTTTTATGTAAATTACTTATAAAATATACAATGTAAAAGGTAGTATAAATAAAATTAAAAAATATAATAAACTTATTTTTTTAAAGTAATGAAAGGTTTATCTAATTTCACTCCTTTTGAAAATACTTTGCCGGAATAATGTTTTTTTTTAGAGAAAATAGAAAACAAAAATAAATAAAGTTGAGGTAAGAAGATAAAAAAATAAAATACATTGACAATGTTTTACGAAAGTCTTCAGATGAACTGGTTAGATGAGTAAAAACATTGTAAAAAAAAAGTTTAAGATTTTTTTAACAAAATATTTTTTTTATGAGTTGCTGTTATCGATATGTTCTTAAAACTTTCTACGTTCTACTTCCCTCTACGTTCATCGATTCTTCTGTAAAATACAGTAAATAATTAAAAGCAGTTGGCTAACAAGAATGTGGTCACTGGGCTGAACTTGCAGGCCACTCACACCACAGTTACTAAGTTTATATTGTCGTTCAATACTCAACGGAAGTCGACCATTTACTTTATTGACTCTAAACATTGGTTGTAAATCTATTTCAACTGAAATCATTCTACATTCACAGTATAATCTATAAATCTCTGGGATTAGTGCAATCGTTATTTAATTGAAATTTCTCCAATACCATCTGAAAAATATTCCACTTCACTTTTCATTACTTTCGATAATTGACTATTTAATTTCGCTTTTAGAAAACTATTGCCACGAAATGCACATTTTTTTTCTATCCTTATCTCTAGTGATTCGTAAATAATCGCATTATGAAAGACATTTATTGATAACATTTTGTTCATACAGTTTTACAACTTATTCTTAAACTTTGTACATTTTTTATTACTTAGCGATCGAATTGAACTTCATTCCAACAAACTAATTAATTCGTTTAAATGAAAGATTGTTAAAGTGGGAGAAAATGTAAAAATTATTTACAGTTAAAATAAATAGAATTTTATTTTTTTAAATTCAATAAAAAAAAAGCTCCACAACAATCGGAAATGAAATACTTTTTTACAGATAACAATTTGTTGAATAAATAAAATTATTTATCAAGTTCCATATTTAGTGATTGATGGATGCCAATAATTATTGGGAAATGAATGAACTAATTAAATGCCTAACAATCATTAAAGTGAATATAAATATGTCTGAATACATAAACGGTTGGAAATATTTATTAATTTTGTATGTTTGCAGTTTTTTTTAATAAATTACGTCTTTAAGAAATAAAAGACAGTAGAAATTTGGACGAGAATGGGGAATAAAGAAAATAAAAAAATAGGAAAAAGGAAAGAAGGATTTATATTATTAAAGGCAAAATAATTAATTACGGAAGAAGAAAAAAGTTGAAACAATTAGCACATAGAAAGAAATTTATATAGCAACAACAGATTGTTTTTGGTAGCTCTAGAAAGGAAACAGAAAGTCATTTTTAGGTATTACAACCCTGGTCTGTAATTGTAACGGGAAAAAAAATTTGTTACAAGAGTAGATCAAGAATTTCTTACTAAATGGATTGATTGGAAAATTACAACTATCCTAGATTTGCCCTGCATCTACCTTTGACCTTAAAAATCGTTGTTCGATAAATTGTTCAAGAGTTATAGAGTTCTAAAGTCGAAGAACAGATGATTTTTTGACCTTACTCCGACTTTGGACCTCTATAACTCTCATACAAATCATGGAATTATGATTTTCAAGAGTTTTTTAAAAACTTCAGAATCTAAGCTAAAGATACATATCCATAAAAACATTTAAAAAATTATTTCACCCTTAAAATTGCCAAAATAATTGGCAAACTCCGAAAAAATAGGATTTTTTTCAATATTTTAGCGATTTTAAAGGTAAAAGAAATTTTTTAAACATGTTTTATGGATATGCATATTTAGCTTAGACTTTCAGGTTATTCAAACGTCCTTAAAAACAATAATTGGACCGTCCGTTCATGAGTTATAAGGGTTTAAAGTCAAGGGGATGATGATTCGAAACTTGTATCTAGTTTTACCCGCTTTTAAGGGTGTTGAAGTGAATTTTCTTGGGCTGGGCCCCGATTCCGTATTTCTACGCATCAAAACAAAGAAAATGAGTGGTCAAACTTGAAAATCGGAGTACTTTTATTTTTTGGCTGAAAAAAATGGAAAGGGGTACCACTTGCCATTTTTTGGGGGTGAAAAATCAAAGTTGTCCGATTTTCAAGTTCGACCACTCATTCTCTTCGTCTCAATGCGTAGAAATGCGGAATCGGGTCAAACATATGAAAAATCAATTATTTCACCCCTAAAATGGGGTAAAACGGGAACTTGCTTCAATTTTTGCATAAATTATGCTCTATTTATGATTTTCACTATATCGACTCTTTTCCTTCCGTCCAGACCTTTTATATGAGCCCTCAATCAACCTTTTACCATCATTAGTATAGAAGTTATGCACATTTTCATGTCTTACAGTTTCTCGCCAATATATCATTATTTCATTAATTTTATTATGTATATTCTCTTTTGCAAGTAGAGAACATTTAAATTACATTTAGAGTAAAGAGGTAAAATTTTTTAGAAACTTCCCCATTGAGAAACGTTTGGGGAACGAATTTTTTATTACGAGTCCTCAATTGATCACCTGAACTTGGTATCACTTCGCAAATCTAAAATTAAAATAATTTGTTTTTAAAGTAGGTACATAATGATACACTAAAAAAAATTATCAACTATTTATACGGACAAAAGGAGATTAAAAGTGAAGTTTTATTAGATGCCTCATTTGCTGGTAGCATACAGTCATTTGAATAAATAATATGAAGTTATTAAAAGGGAAGAAACAGACAGAAAAGGATTAATATGAATATTTTATGGAAATTGAAATTGTAGCAGGATATTTACCAAAAGGAAAAATTCAGTCTGGTTATTAAAAGTAATAATTTAAAATTTAATAATCATCTATTATTATAAAAAGTTCTCTTTTTCATCTATTTCACCTTAATTTTGAAAAAATTCTTGTTTTCTAAAAACAGAAATAAAATTAAAACTTTTTAAGGATATAAAATGTGACAAATACAAATTCATTTTTGGAGTAACGAAAGTTTTCTTAACTAAAACTTTTCATTACTCTACTAATAATAATAATCCCATAAGAAATTATTATTTAATTAAAGTTATTTATCTCTGTTATTTTAGAATTTTTTATTTAAGATTAAACTTAATGTTCATCATCTCATAGAAATTTCTAAGAGATTTTATTCCTTAAGAGAGCTGAGACAGAAGAAATCCGACCGGAAAGGATTGTTGAGTGGAATGGAATAATTTTGTTAACAGAAGAGCTACGTTAACTATTACTCTTCATTTTAAACAAATTAAATTGTTACTAACAAAGTATCTGCGTCTTTCTTTCTTTTTCCACTAAAATGCAAACTTCAGTAAGTAATAAGATAAAATAGCCTGATTACAGTGGCTCTCCAAGGCGTATTTTACAGTAGGACAAGGCTATACACGTTTTGGTGACTCAATTTGTAGTATCACATTTTATTGGATGTTTTCATGATAAAAATATTTATACAGATTTATCGATTAACTGTCATTAATTAAACTTTGATGGTTTGATAAAGAGTTGATCCATATTAATAACTTATTCATCGATATTATACACCAATGATTATCATAATTAATCGCATTACAGACTTCCTGAAATGATAAATTCGTGAATAGAACACAGAATGGGTAACCACACAAGTTCATCAATAGCAAGCGGTAATAAATTCAAATTAGAGGACCTCATCATAATCTATTTCGAATATACATACAATTCATGTGACATTGGAATAATAGCTGGTATTCAGTAAGTATTGGTTACTCATGTTGGATTATGTAAGCCAATATTTATGTAGGACAGCTAAAATATTATCTTACTCACATTATATCCGAGTAAAACGAATGAAAACTTCTTCATTCTCCTTCATGAACATGTGTACAAAAGAAACTAAGTAATTAAATTGCTGTGTTAAATAATGTTTTAATTAGGAAATTATTCATCCGATAATTTTTATATTAATATAGTATCATATTAAATATTGTATGCTTCTAGAAAAATATTTCTATTGGTATTATTCATTAGAATATCTCGGATATTTTGTCAATAAAATAGAGTATTAAAAAAAATTTTTTTTTTTAACAAACATGATAGATAAACAATAGTGTTAATCTCAATATGATTACAAAATTGTTAAAAAAAATACTCCATTCAAGCATTTCTTGTTTTGTTGAGCGAAAAAAATTCTCTTTATATCAATTACATTCAATAGATATTATCATCAATGGTATAAATATTGTTTGAAATTCTGCATAAAAAGTTGTATTTTTTTAAATAGAAAAAAGTGAATATTTGTATGAATAAATTGAAGGGATAACATTCCACAAATCCTCGAGGGAAATTTGGATAGACTGTCAAAAATATTGGGGTTAGTATAGTAAAGAATAATATGGGCATGTTCCGTATGTAATAAATTTCTTTTTTTTGTATATATATGTTAAATAATAATTGAGTATTGAAGTAACGAATGAATAAAATGAA